TATATATATATATATATATATATATATATATATGAAGGGTTATTTGGAAAATAAAAAAAAACCTTAAAAATCATAAAAATAAATAAAAAAATACTTAGAGATCTTAAATTTTTTTTTGACTTTATATAAGTCAAAAGTTTAAAAGAAGACACTCATCCTAGTGGCATTCAAACAACAAGAGTATTAATCTATTAACAAAAAGAAACGAAACAAAATAAAATGTCCATTGTTTAGGCTATATGAACGCATTATAAAGCTACATACTTTAGAAGAAGACGTTCACCCGAGTACCATTCAAACAACAAAAGTATTAATCAGTTAACAAAAAGCAACGAACAAAATAAAATGTTATTTGTTTAGGATATATAAAAAGCATTATAATAACCATGACCTGGTTGGAACTTTAGAATGTAAGACTTACAATTAAACACATTAAAATACGGCATACAAGTGCATATACTAAAATAAAATGACATTTCGTTGAAAACAAAAAAATAAAGAATTTAAATATAAAAAGTAAAATGTTAATTGCAACGATGAAGTTTTAATAACCTATATCAAATTTACATTACGAAAAAACTTTTAATGCTAAATAAAAGTATTAATAATCTATATCGAAATTTACATTGTAAAAATACTTTTAAAGTTAAATAAAGGAATATAAATTATATAAATTTTGAGTAAACCCAAGTAACCATAGATTTAACATAACATACTTCATAATGAACAAGAAAACATACAACAAATTGCCTAAATTTTGTGTAGAATCAAGTGAGCCCCAAATTGAGGTTGTAGAGTGATTATAGTGTATGGAGCATGCGAGTATGATGGAGAGAGCTCAAAAGAGAAGCATTGTAGCACCATTACAAGCGCCATTTTTGCTTCTAACATAGCAAAATTTTGTCCAATACAAATACGTGGTCCACCTCCGAATGGAAGATATGATGCTTGTCCCTTGTTCACTTTTGACACACCTTCTGAAAATCGCTCTGGCTTAAAATCATTTGCATCATCACCCCATATGTCATTATCGTGGTGTAAAAACAATGGGTTTATTTCAACTAGTGTATGTGCTGGTAACGTTATGTTTCCTAATTTCGTTTCTTTATATATAAGTCGTCTTATTATTGTAGCCGGAGGATATAGTCTAAGTACCTCACAAAATATCATGTTAATCTGCAAAAAGAAACAATAAACATGCAAAGCGGATAAGCAATTCATCGTATGAAGCATCGTGAGTGTTCTCCTTTTTTGTAAATATGATTAAAGCTTTTGTAAAGATAGATCCTGAAAATAATAATAATAAACTTACAATTTTTAGATGATTTAACCCATCAACATCCGGTTTTCTTTTTCCAAATAGATGTAGGACTTCATCTCTGGCACGTGTCTGCCAATCCGTATGTTGTCCCAATAAAATCATAGTCCATACAAGCATGTTTGCAGTGGTTTCTTGACCTGCAAAGTAAAAAATTTTGCATTCTTCGATGACTTCCTCAATGCTTAATCCAAAGTTTCTATTCCCATGTTTTTCAATCTCTTTTTGATTTGAATCCAAAAGAATGCCCAAAAGGTCATCCTTACTAGATTCTCCGGCTTTCATTGCAATAACTCGTTTATCGATAATGCGCTTTATTGTTGTCTTCACCTCCCGGTCAATCTCTTTCATGCTATTGTTTCTTTTAGTTGGAAAATATCTGTTAAGTTGTACTTATTTAGCATAAAAGAAATCCTACCAAATATACAGTAATGTTGTCACTTTACATACTAAATAAAGGAAAACAGGTATAAATCAATAACTACTGTCGACTATTTTTATAATTCATGGTTCATGCTTTCAAAACAAACTATTTTTATAATTCATGGTTCATGCTTTCAAAACAAACAGCTTATAACTCACATATAAGTGTGGACACAAAATTTTGCAATATAAATTAATAGTCAACCCTAATGGTGCTTTGACGATATAAATATTAATAATTAACATGAAATATATAAGCTTAATGTATGATGTTCAATCTTTGTCTATGCTATAATTCTCCATGTGTTTTTCTTAATTTATGTATTAAAAGTAGGTTTTAAACGAAATACATAATCATATCTTATCAAATGACCAAAATATGAAATATTCTAACGACTGAACCCGCTATCTTAGAAAGTACGAGCAACATTAGTTAACTATTCAATTATGTGATAACATGTGCAAAATTGTTACACTTTTAGCAAAGTTTTGCAACAACATTCTCATTGTTACCGATTTCAACTGATATTTGTTACAACATATTTCAACTGATATTTCGCGTTACAACATTGCATAGTTTAATCCTACAATCAAATACGGTTGCATATTTTCTCAAAAAAAAAAAACATATATGATGATTTAAATTTGAAAACCCCTTACATAAATAAACATTAAAAACCTAAAATATATGCACTTGGAATGTATGTTTCCCTTAAATAAAGATTGCCAGAGAAGTTAAAGTGTCTAGTTTTGCATTTTATTATTGTTTTATTAGATGATAATGAGTTTTAAATATTTTTTCGAAAGAAACTCACTTTAATCCTGGAATGTAAAATGATCGTGCAGCCTTCATAACTAGCTTTGCTTGTTCTCTTTGTAGTTCAAATATCTTTCTTCCTTCCTTAAAGTTGCTACCAAATGCAGTACGTGAAATTACATCACTTGTTAACGTTTGAATATGAGGCCACACATCCACTTCACACAAGCCTTCATTTGTTAACATCTCACCTCACTTGTTTATCATCTCACAACAACTCACATAAAATGCAGGTACCATATACTACCAAAAAGAAGAATAAATCTCAATGATGTATATAAGGCATATTGTTATTAGAGTAGAAATGAGTCTAGCTGGTTTAAGGCTCACATGATGAAAATTTTACTATCTATTTAAATAAATTATTTGAAACTTCAACACTTTTGTATGTTAAATAAATCGGTTGATCAATTTATTTTTCAGCTAAACATGTTAGATTGTCGGATAATCTTAAGTGAGTCATGCATATCTGAAAATCTACATGAAAAAAAACTTTAGATTTGGTTAAAACTGTTATAACATTGTTCAGAAAACAAAACTAGAGCTCGAAAAAAAAGGAA